TTTCCAAGAGTCCCCTTACGAACTCCGACGCTTTTCCTTTGTGGCATCGTATGCCAGGTACAGGGTTTCCTGGTCCGAGAGCTCGTAGATGGTTCGGCTCTTTTCGAGGATTGTCAGCCAGTTCCTGAACTCCTTCCCACTACCATCAAACACTGGGACCCTCGGTCCACCCAACAGCCCCCTTAAATCACTGACAACCCCGCCCTACTTCTTCTTCTTTCCCCCCACTGCTCTATCCGACTCATAATCTGACATGTCTACAGAGAGCAACAATCGAGGGGGGAAATAAACAAGGTGTCCTACCTTACAGACGACTCTGTTCCTTCTTTTCCTTTGGTCCCGGGTCGTTCTGATTTCTGCTTGAACCTTCAGCAACGGCGGTCGATCGTGGTCTTCTCAGGGTTGAAATCCTCGGTCACCACGGCACCATATGTGACGTGGTTGTCTCAGGGTTGATCCTGGTCACGGCACCACTTTGTGAAGGGTTGATCCGTTGGTCACGGCACCACTTGTGACGGTTACACACCTGGCCCAGTGTCGGATCCTTTGGTTACGGCGCCAACGGTGACGTCGCTCCTCCTGGTCGCTCCTCCTGGGTCCAAGCGTGCCGCTCCAACCCTTTGGTCAGATGATCACCAGCCTCGCCTTTCCCGACTCGCTTCCAATACCTGGTCACTAAAGCAACTATACCGATCTCCGGTCTGTCTACCCACGCTGTGTTTAGATCTTAGACAGACGGGACCAGCAGGGATCTGGGGCCGATACAAGTTGAGTCCGACGGGGGTGGCAAAACACAAATAAAATAAAAACTCACGACACCAAACAAAATTGCTGATAAAAAGGGTAACAACCTTTTATATCTTAAAGTCCGTTACATAAAAAACAAAAGTGTTCTCATTTCCCGACCCGTTCTGTGAACTATGGCACCAAGCTTCTATCAAAAAAATAAAAAAAAAAAAAATGTCGAACTACCTACTTTCTAGAATCATGTATGTATGTCGGCGTGTGGTTCAGTTCGACATTGGGCTAATTTCTATCGGTCGTTCGCAGTTGGTTCTTCTCTTCGACGTGAACTGTATTTCTTCTTCTTCGTTTGTTTAGACTGGTAGATTTCTTGTTTCAACCCAGTGGAAGATTTCTTGCTTCGATTCAGTGGAAGATTTTTCTTCGATTCAGTGGAAGATTTTTGCTTCAATTCGGTGGAAGATTTCTTGCTTCAATTCGGTGGAAGATTTCTTGTCTTCAACTTGGGCTGGAAGATTTCTTGTTTTCAACTTGGGCTGGAAGGATTTCTTGTTTCGAGGATTTTCTGTCGTCCGAGGGGGTGAACTGCAACTCACGCCCAACCTAACTCCAACTTCAACTCAACTTCAGCTCCAACTCATTTCTGCCGACTGGGGTCCTGCTTATATTGACGCCGCAACAAACCGGGGTGGGTCGGTCGGCGTCAGGGGTTTTCTCGATAATTTCAAAAGCCGTATTAATTTTGACTTTCCATTATCGTTATTGTTTTCACCCCTACTTTCTCACAGTGCTCTTGGGGGGCGGCGCATATCTATTTCTCTTAGTCTCTCTCATGTCAGGTGATCGCTCTCAACCAATCGTTCCCGATCGAACCTTTCTTTTCTCTTCTTTTCCGCAGCCCACGTGACCGCCTCGTCCAACAGTTATTGATCGAGGTTTTCTTTCCTTCTTCTTCCGCGGTCACGTGATTGTATTCGACCAATTGTTATTGACCGAACACCCTCTCCCTTTTGTTGGCGGGTGTGGTTACATCGTGCTGGTTTTAAAAAAAAAACAAAATCCGATTTCGCACCTTTTTGCACGTACGCAAAATGACAATCCTTGCCCTCTCTCACCTGGACTTTGTCAAACAGCCCGCTGCTAATTAGTCTTGACTTTTAGAAAGGATCTTTTCCGCCTTCCTGGCGCCCTCCGTGGTCCAAAAACAATTGCTCTTCTTTTTACCTCTTTGTTTTTCCTGATAGCCGAGAATCTTAATTATCTAGGTCGAAATATCTCTACTTTCTTAACGTGGGTGTCCAATTCTTAACAGGTCAATTCCGTATATCGTTTTCACCAGTCACTTCCCCAACCCAAAGACACTTTCTCTCTGACTAAAGTAAAATTCATTTCTATTATTCTAATTTAAAAGTTACCTTTCGTTATTTTGATAAGAATTCTTCTATGAAAATGTCGGTCAGCGCTCGCACCGACCGATATCTCCAATTCTATTCTTTCAAAAAAATTAAGGTCAGTCAGAGGCTCTGACCGACATCTGGTCCACACCCAGCGGCCTGTTTTGATATCATGTCTTTTTTCCTTTCTTTCCCCCTTTTGTTATTATCTTTCCTTTCTTTTTTTTTTTCCTTTCTTTTCTTTTTTCCTTGCTTTAGGATCGTTTAGTACATTCTTAGTGAATTATTTTCAACCCAGTTATTTTCCGTTTTTTAAAAAAAAAATTAACAACCTGTTTAATAAACTGAATAAGGAAAAATTAACTCATATTTCTATGAATATTTCCAATAAATGCAAGGTGCCATAGGAACATAATTTCTGATAACTACTTTAAAAGATTTTTTTGGGTTTGGAAATGTTATTATAGCTAATTTATCTTATTGACAAAGATTACAGATATTGCTATGATTGTTGTAAGGATTAGCTTTCTTTAATATTTTTTTTTTAATATAGCGTTCATAAATTTTATTTAAAAAAAAATACATATATATATATATGTGTGTGTGTGTGTGTGTGTGTGTGTGTGTGTGTGTGTGTATAGGTAACTATACTCGTCTCGAAAAACCTTCGAATTTTTGACTTGCCAGTAATCAAATCAATCTCGAAGGAAAAAAAGGTTTTAAAAAAAGAAAGAGCCAGGAACATGAAAGTCTGTCGAAAAAAATCGCACAGATACAGGTTCAAATCCCAAAGAAAAAAACACCGACACGAGTAAAGAACTAACTAAAAAGAGCTCGATACAACCGTAGAGCCGACCTAGATAAACCTAGTGAGCCAGACAGACCTACCCAGGTTTCACCTAAGCGGATCGTCAGGGAAAGCTGGCTAAAAAGGCAAAAGAGAAACGGCATATTTATGGGCGACAATCAAAACTATACCACGTGACCAAAGAAGAAAAGAATATATATATATATATATATTAAATCAAATTTCAAGTGAACAGTGACCGACCACGATAGTCAGTTTTCCTGTCTGCAATTAAAGATCAAATGCAGATCAAATATGTATCGGAATCCTAAAGGATGATAAAGTAAAAAAACAACAACAAGGAAACGTATATCAATCCAACATGTTTCACTTTTCTTAAAGCTTCGTTTAGAGATTGAGAGCTAGAATTATCTACGGTTTGAATACACGTGACACGTGTTTGACCAATGAGAACTGACCCAAACATAATTGAAAATACCATGGTTCCTGTCTTTTGTCTATTTTCTCTCAATCTCTGACAAAGCTTTAATAAAAGCGAAACATGTTAGATTGATATACATTTCCTCGTTGTTCTTTTATTTTATCATATATATATATGTATATGTATATGTGTGTGTGTGTGTGTGTGTGTGTGTGTGTGTGTGTGTGTGTGTGTGTGTGTGTACTGTGTATTTCAGCGTATAAGGCGACTCTTAAATCTTAAACCCCAAAATAGGAGGTCGTCTAATACAACAGTTACAAAAATGTAACCTTAAATCCTGTGGTGTATCGGCACTGGTAAGTAGGCTAGTATGCTTGCGCCATGGATCGCGGTAGATTAACAAAATGTCTCAGTATGGTCACTACTGATGTAAATATTTCTAGTTGAAACAATTCACGTGATAATATTGTACTACAGTTATAAATGTAATAAAACTACTTTTATTCTACTTTACAATTCCACTAAACTGTTTATTGTCTGTGCAATCAATCAAATACATAATATCGTTTATAAATCTTAGAAGCTTTTTCCAGTCCTATTCAGTTGTTTGTTACGTTTGCAATGCGTCGTTTATAAATCTTAGAAATGTCTTTGGACTTTACATATTTATTTAGTACTGGGATTCTCAAAGTGGTAAAGGAAAAGATGAATAAATTAATGAAGAAAAATAGAGTCATTTGGTGGGGCGGCAACAAGCTGGCTTTAGAAACAAACCGTATTTTTTCTTTTTCCTTTTTTATTTATAAAATCTCTTTCACAAAATCTTAAGGAACACGTGCGATTTAAAAACAAGAAAATTAACATAAATATTTTACACCTACCCCTGGTTTTAATTTATTTTGTTTTCTGAAGTAAAATGTCCGAAATTTTCTTGTTGACGTAATCTGAACAGAACATGCCACGTACTAGCCCGATCATACAGCCGACATCTACATGGGTTACTGCTCTAGGTTTGTAGGTGTAGCAATATACTAATGGGTGTTCACTATGCAAAAGTGTGTTTACAGTGTTAGATTGGTAGTCATCATTAACCTTCAGTATTTGATTGTGTCTTAATTATTAAACAGGGAATGCAAATGAATAAAGACAAACAAACAAAATGTACTAAACTTCCATTTTAGTTACTTCATTTCTGACTACATAAAATTCATTGTACACTACCTAATTCTTTTAGTACAGATCAGAACTGTTATTCCCAAAGTGAGAATAACCATCCCCCCCTCCATCAACCCACCAAGAATGGTAGAAAGATCCAAGTGACAATTAGAACGGGGAGTACAGCAGAGTAGCATTAGTACTTTTTTTTTGCACTGAATGATTGTTTTTTATGGCTTATCAACCTTCTGCAGGTTATTTAAAGACAGAAAATATTTTTAGATTGTAAGAAATTTTGGGAGATAATGATTTAATTGATACAAGTTCTATTAATTAACCCATAGCTGGGGGAGACGAGGTGGATTCAACCATTTTCCAAGGTTATTTGCAAGTAAATGAAAATAACAAACCCAACAGGAATTGGAACTGATCTCTCCATTTCCGAGATGTTATTCATTACATAATCTGCACATCCACGCTTACAGCACTTGATATTCCTAAGCGGTCACCCATCTAGGTACTGACCAGGCTCAACATTGCTTAACTTTGATGATTGTATGAGAACTAGTGTTTCAATGGGATATGGTCGAAAGCCTACATTTAAGGAGCGGATCTAATTTAAAAAGATAATTAACATAGATTTATATACATACACCTGAGTTTATTTTGTTTTCAGAAGTAAAATGTCTGAACGTTTCTTGTTGACGTTATCTGGACAAGAAAATGCCACGTACTAGCCTGATCATACAACCGACATCTGCAGGGGTCAATGCTGTAGGTTTGTAGGTGTAGCAATATATTCATGAATGTTCATCTAGCAACATTTTATCTAATGGCGCCTAAGAAAAGTTGAAATTCATACGTGTTTTTAGTGTTATATTGGATGTCGTTTTGAATTTACAGTCTACCCACTACCAAATGTCTTCATGTGAATGTGGGAATGTGGCCTAGAAGACAAAAGAGAATCAATTAGAAAAATCTGGGAACCACTGGAGTCGTCCATGTGAAATTTGTCAACTGCAATCTTTAGAAAAAATTTAATGCGCTAAAAATTAATTCCACGTGAGATTTCATAAGCGAGAATCGGTCTGTATTTAAAGTTTTGTTTCTAACTTCATCTACAGAAAAAAAAATTAGTCTTTTTGGGAGAAGATAGTAGTGACGGAAAAAGTATTTATTACAAGAATACAAAATGCAGAAAAAAAAAACATACCTAAGTCTGAAATAGCCTTCAAAAATCACACCTCAAAACTATACTAATAGGAAGTTCTTTATCTGTGTGTTTGATGAGATTCAGAATTAATTTATTACATTTGTTGGAAACAAACAGTGAGCAATTGCCTCGATTGAATGACACATAGAAAGAGAAGATACCTTTTTCTATCCTTGTGTTGCAAATATGATAGCACAACGTAGCTGAAAGGTGACTGAAATGTTATAGAAAAACAGGAATACGTAAATAGATACTTTGATGACGGAATAAAGATACTGTTGCGGGCTACTGTACGTATTGTGAGATAAACACGTGTGTCTCCTGAAATGCCCACAATAAACATGGTAGACTCTGAGTATGAGTCCACCAAAAATATGTAAAGAAACAACAAGAACCGATATATATGTACAAACAAATGAATAGGTAATAACAACAAAAGGGTTGCGAGTGACAAAGACAATAATGTGTGTAACAAATGAATGCGGAAACTTTTTAAGTCTAAAGTTTGTGAAGTGAATGAATGTGCGTACGTACGTACGTGTGTGTGTATGTATTGTTCATGCGTTTCCCAAAATGGGAACGCGATCTTCCGCGAGAGATTTACATGTTGTCGTATAAGCGAAAAGTGAAAAGGGAGTGATAAAAAATTATCGCAGAGCTGCTGTCCAGATTCAATCTGCATTGCACAGTGGCAAGAATAAATTAAATTAAATTAAATTAAATTAAAACAAATAAAGGTTGGGTAAATTGAAGGACTTCTTTTTTTTATTTATATTTGTTGTATAGCTATATTTATATTTGTTGTATAACTATGTTTATATTTGTTGTATATTTAGAAATTGACCGGAATATTGCGAATTTTCTTGGGTGCGTTAAAATGTTTATTAACGAACCACGTCAAAAGATCCATTTGTTGCTTACATATAATGTCCAGTTCCGTTCATAAATATGTTAAAAACTTACTAACATTATTTACATTATTCGAACTGTTATCCTCATCTTCACTGCCATATTCACAAGGCTTCGGTCGTTGTACATGCCAGTCTTCTTCAGGTGATTGGAATTTCAAAGCAAACCCTTTATTTCGTCCACCGGGGTAGATTGTTCAAGTTCTACGTGCCAGGCCTCTTCCCGATGTCTCAGCTATTTCCCTTTGACTCAACTCTCCAAGTATTGGTTCACAACCTTTTAGGTCTAGTCAATAGATTAATGCAATACTTAAATGCAGCAATCAGTTTTGAGTAATTCTGTAGTTTATTTATAGTAGTTTATCTACTCCTCCCTACCTATTGGGATGAAGGCCCAATCAAGAGCCCTCCGCAGGAGCTAGGTTAAATGCCACCCGATAGGGCAGCTCTTAAGCTAGCGTATATATATATATATATATATATATATATGTATGTGTGTGTGTGTGTTATGAACAATAAAAAATATTGAGAAATAAAAAAATTAAAAATTTTTTTTATTATTTCATTTAGATTCCTTGACTAGTTTCGGCCAGCATGGTCATCATCAGGAGAAAAGATGTTTTGATTGTATATATATATATATATATATATATATATATATATATATATATATATATATATATTATAATTATTTTTTTATAAAAATATGATTCTTTCGCTACATAAGAGTTCTCATGTTTCAAAACCGAGAGCAGAAACCATCAATATAATTATTAAAATTAAATTGAATTAAAGTAACAAGCCCTGTTTCATCCTCAAGTGAAAATTGATAATTATATTGATGGTTTCTACTCTCG